AACCTTATAATAAAAGTAGTATTAGCTTGCATGTGTTTGGTTTTCAAGTTTGGTCTATCCTGGAGGGCTAACACCACTTGACACAGTGGGTGATTCCAGTGCAAATGCCAAACCAAAAATAAGTGTTTGTGTGTGTGTGTGTGTGTAGGCCAAAATCTCAGGAAGTGACCAACTCTCTCAATTTTGGAATCCTTTCTCAAAATCTCACAAGATGGGAGACTGGAACACCAAAATAACATGTAATTTGGCAATCTGGGAAAATCCAGGTGCCATTGTACTTTCATTTGCCAGGCTGCCTACTTCTGGTTAATGGAGTGGTCCTCAAAATTTTTTGATGCTGTAATGGACCACATAAAGATAGAAGTTGGGAACAACTGCATGATTGCTTCTCTAGGTCAATATCAGGGCTTAGCCTACAACCTGGCAGTGACCTTTAGGCAAAAATAGGAGCAACAGCAATGTTGACAAGTAGCAGATTTTAGAACATGCTTGCTCATTAGTTCTTGTCTTCTGACAGCAATGCCAAGGAAGGTGATGGGGCTTCTAAAGGTAGAAGAGGCCAAACAGGATATTTTGGCTAACAGCTATCTTACATTCACAGAAATGACCAGAATGAGGCTGAGTGCGAGGGGCGGGGGGAGTTCTTGCCTATCCTTTGTTTTTTCCTGCCTTAAAACTTCAATGAGAAGAAAAGGACGTGGCAGAAGTGGCTATTTTAGATTATAAAAAGTTCCCAAAAGCCTAACACTTAACTAAAATGTGTATCCTTTTTTTTTTTTTAATTTGTATTAGCCGTTATGTAAATAAGCTGCCAATATAATTTAGATATTAGGGAAAAGACGTAATTACTGTATAGTTAAAGAGGTAAAGAAATTATAGTTTATATTATGTACTATCTTTGCATCCTCTTAGGTTTCCTTTATATTGCTAAAGACGTGCCATGGAGAGCAGATATGGCATAACTAGAAAAAGATTACACTGGGTTTCCTTAAACCATTCTTTTGTTTTTGTCTATTTCTTTGGATAGGGAAGCCCTAGATTTTATTTGTTCCAAACAGTGGAAGAACCTCCTCAGTTAGATAAAGAAAGCAAACGTCGTACGTGAGCCAATGCTTACTTACATCGTTTCGAAAATTCCTGATGGATTCTTTGTTTTATATTTCAGAGCACCAGACATATGGCCATTTCTGACACCGGTCCTCTACTTGCAGCGATGCCTGTCAGCTTCCACCAGAGAGCAGAGCAGCTCTATTACCCAAGTCTTTTACGCTGTGGAAATCAGGGGAGACAGCGAGCGACACAGCCAGATCCTGGCCAAACAACATGGATTGCAGTTCATTTCAAAGGTCAGCGCATATTTAAACTTGCTTCATTACTTCCACCTTTATGCCTGAGATTTTCATTTTTTGAAAATCTGTTTACCAAGGGTCCTTTAGAGACAGAAAAAAAATGAAAGTGCTGAGTCCTATTTTCATTTGGAGATATCAAGCTTTTTATCAAATTATAGTGGTGGCGTTTCAGAATATTTCATATCTGATCAAAAAGGAAATCCAAAAATAATTTTCTCTTTATTCAGGAGTCTTTCAGGCACCCGGACTGTTTTATTTATTATTTGATATCCACGCACTAGTCAATCATTTTTGAATTCAGACAAGAAAATACTTTTTTTTAAAAAAATTTTAACGGTATTAAAAAAAAAAAAATCCTAAAATGTATACTGTTGAAATGCTATTTTTATCTGGAGCATAAAATTAGAACCTCACACCTTGCTCTCCTGAATGCATAATATTGGTTTTAACCATAATAGGTTAGACTGAAGCTATGCACTTAGGCAAAGCCTCTTGTGTTGGTTAATTAGGGGCACTGGGCCTCCTGTGCATGTGTACATTTATCTTTTAGCTTTCAGATTTTTGGTTACTTATATCTTTGAAGACACTTTCCATGGAGCTTTATACTGAAACGTTGCTGGCTTCACCACGTGTGCTCACGCAGACGCGGAGCAGTCTTTTAAACAATAGTGTTTCATCTGAATATAACTGGTCAAAATAGATCATCTTTTTTGTTTATTAATCTAACAGAACCCTTACACTGTTATCTAACCTGGTAATGTTTTATTGGAGGAGAGATGAGTACTCCTGGGACCTAATTTCCGATCTTGCAGTCCTTTTGTTTTCTCTGAATATATAAAAGAAATCAAAACATGCATTGTGCGATAGTCATTTTTCCCTTTTTTTGATTTTTTCCCCCTCTTGGATATACTCGGCAACCATTGCTTCCTTGAATAAATTAATCCCCACAGCTCTCTTCTCAGGGTTTCTCATCTCTATACTATACATTAAGAAGATAAGGAGAATGAAGGTGAAAATGGCCTCTGCAATGACTCTCCTATAGCACCCTAATATATCTGGTGGCCATTTTTCTAACCCTTAATTTATAGAGCTTACATGTCAGTATCAAGAGTAATAACACTGGCACATGTATTTGTTATCTGCTGCTACATCTTATGACTCCAGCAGAGTTCAGTCATGACACAGATGATATCTTCAACAGTTTCTAAGTGCTGTCCTTAATGGATTTTCCTACTTCATCTGCAGCAAAGAATAAAATAAAACTTGTGAAAATAGAGTATCAGTTGGTATGTTCTTAGGAATACATGTTTGGGTATATGCGACTACTGGTAACTATAAATGTCAATACTTGATGTTCCTTCTGGGAAGTTTGGCCTAGCATTTCTATGAGAAAAATTGTGTTCTGGCACAATCCATTTAACAATGCATTATAGTAATGATTCAGAACACTAATCCTGAAATATATTTGATTAATAATGGTTTCAGTGGTTAGGATTACTACTCCAGTATTTTATGCTAATAAGGAAGACCTTATAATACAATAGACTTCCAGATGAGGTTTCTTAAGTCCTGTTTTAAGCATGGTTTCCAGGTGAAAGGAGAGGTACCAGGTATTACATATGACCCCCTTTTTCAAAAACTGGTAGTTGAATTTCTAAACCTTCTCAGTTCATGTAATCCTTATTCTGTTCAGAACTGTCATTGAAAAACTACATGCAAGACAACAGAAAAGAGAAAACTTATATATTTCTTACTGCCATAATATGTTACTGTGCTTCTGCCTTTTCTGTGTTTTGTATGAGCAACATTTACCTTTCTTAGCATTCTTATTTCAAAGATAAAACAACAGCCACTGTGGTATTTGGGGCTTAGGGTTTTTGAGCCACAAGAAGCACTGATGCAGACTTAAAGATTCAAATGTGATTAAGCTTAATATTTTTTGAACTTCTTGTGGTTTTCAGTAAGCTACTCTATGTGCTCTATGATAATGGCAACAGAACATGTATTTGACAAAAGCGTTCTGTTAAAGTCAGTATAGCTAATATGCCTTATTACTAAAGGTTGAATTCTCAGTCACTGAAGATGGAGCTAACACAAAAGGAACAGTTACGTCTACCTCTTCTAGCCTATGAGATGAGGGAAGTACAGTATTAGGGGAAGAATCTAACTAGACTCCAGGGTCAGCAGAGCATGGAGAAAGTGAGTGAAAGTGATGGCTTTGATTCTGCCTACAACCCAGCAAGCCACTCAGTAACCCTTTGCCCCAACTCAACAGCGCTAACTGCGGTGACCATCTGGGAGCCTGAAAGAACACCTCTCCTCTGTGGGGGATAAGAAGTGCTGAGAGAGACCCCAATAGCCCTGCCAAAAGACTGAGGCTGATTATAGGGTGATTGACACCTGAGCTGGCAGGCTGGAAAGGAAACAGGGCTGACAGCCCCCAGAACCCATCCCTCCTGTATCAGGCAAGGAGTTGGGTGATGTCATCAGCTAAAGGCTTAACCTAGAGCTGAACCATCACCCAGCCTGTCTACAGAATCGTAAGAAACACCAAGGAGGTTTTTCCCACTATCTTATCCATGGACTTCAGGATACTCTTGCTGAAAGAGTCAAGGGGGAATGGGCTTAATTATCCAAGTAATTTTCAGTAGCAGAAAACAAGTTGTATCTCCTGCCTAACCAGGGATGAAAAATCTAGCAACACCTTGCACTGACAAGCTAGTGAATCATGGTTGCTGAAATGTGGTAAAGTTGTTGTTTTAACTCTTTCCCTAAGACGTTATGCTGATTCCTTGTAGACTTCATTGACCTCATGAATAACTGCCCTTTTCTTGCTAGTTCTGCTTTACAGTATTTATCGAGACCTGCCTTACGAAGTGTAGTTGTGTGGGTAAAGAAGAGCTGCCCAGAATGTTTCAGAAATGCCTGAGTTTCCAAGCCATTTCTGAAGCAAGTTGTTAGGCAAGGTTGCTGGGCTTCCCATTCCTGATTTTTTTTTTCATTAAAGCCATGCTCAGTACAATTATGGTATATCAGGTATGCTGTTAGATAGGTGCTGTGTATCTGACTCTGAGGTGTCATCTGAACAATTGGCTTGGTTCCTGGAGTTTGGGAGATGATTTTAGCAAATTGGGATCAGGGAGATGATAATGAGGGTGGTCAGGATCTCCTAGTGACTTTCTTGAGCATGATATCTTCATAGATGTGGTCTGTGAAGTCTAACCACATTTTCTGATCCTATCGCACACATTCACACTTTACAACCAACAATAAAATCTACTGTCTTTTTCAAGGACTCATGAGGTCTCATCACTGAGAAGGTGGTAGGATGGGCATTAATGGAGCCAGACATAATCAAAGGATCCAATATTTATTCAGATAGATCAAATTTTCTGTATTACTCTTTTGTTCCCCATTTAAAAATAATAATAAAAAAAATTCAGTAATTATTTTTGTAGAATGATTTGTGATTCTAGATCTCCTCAGAAAGATTCTTTTCTAACTGAGATTTCAGCATCCTGGTATGGTAGAGTTTTTTTCCCCCCTTAATAGAAATATAACTTTTCTTCCTTTGCATCATTATGAATAGGGCTGTGCAGATCTTTTGAAAGAGATGTTTTGAATGCACTGGAACATATGCAAAGCACTCTTCAAATAACTGAAGCAGCTGTATTTTTTCCCGTGCTTGCATGGCTTCTCCGTAAGCTACTCTCAGCTGCTTCTGTGTAAGTGTCCATGCACAGCTGCTTTGCTTTGCTAGGAAAAAGCAAAGTGGAGTGTTTAGGCCTGCAGATGCATCTGGAGTCAACTGGGAGCAGCTAAAGCAGCAGCCACGTCCACCTGAAAAAAAGACACAGGAGCTTCTTATGTGCTCCTATACTTCTGAAAGGACTTATTCTGAAGAATTTTGTACAAGCCTAATAATAAATGTATCTGCCCAGGAAAGGAATCTTAAAAGGGGAGAAAGATTATCGTCCACCTCTTGAAAATGCTTTGGCATCAATTGACTTTTCCAGTATTGACTTTGACTCTTTACCTTGGATGCTGCATAACATTAATCTCTAGTTTTGCCTGTTTTAAATAATATTTAAACAAGGGACAGATAAGAACTCTGAATTGCACATCTTTCCTGATGTTGATTGACATGATGTTAATTGTGAGAATGTATCTATTTTATTTTTATGTGTTCAGCAGTAATGGAGAATTCTGGGCAGGAGGTGGTTTTTAGAGAGGGAATGCAAAACTGAATTATTTTTCTCCATGCAATGGTTCTAATTAAATTCATTTCTCTGTAGATGCTCTTTGTATTTCAGATAGAACTTCTATTAAAATAAAGGGGAAGTTTGGTTAAAATACAAGTAGTAGCTAGAGGGAAATTATTTTTGTCAAGAATGGG